AGAGTGAATATCGTGAGGCAAAGCTGCTGAGGATGCCACCGTACTCGCCAATGCTCAATCTAATTGAACATATGTGGAGCTTGATTAAGAACAAAGTCAAGCGCGATTTGAGCTATAATTTTCCGAGCCTCCTTCAAGGGGATCGTGGAGGTACAATCACTCAAGCAGAATGGCAAATGCAGTTCTTAGAGCAGTCTGTTGCGAGAGCGATATCCTCGATCTCCGAATCTCATTGCGCTGGGTTTGTGCGACATTCGTAGACATTTTACATGCCTGCTCCTGATGTTTAGAACATGGGAGGCCACTAAGATTGGTTTCAACAGAGAACGTAGAAACTGTCCTTCTCAGGGCAATCAAAGGTTGATTTCATTAATGTTGTTTTGATTTTTTGACTCATTCCCTTCTTCATAGAATACATTCGGTTGGGAGTATTTGAAGTGACGATCGATTTACTCGAAGTTTGAACGATAAAAATCGTACAGGAATAAGGACTGCATCATGATTTCATTTAGCATACAAGAGATGATAACGTCGTAGACTTTGCATCAAACAATCTCAGCAGCAATAAGTTTTCTGACAATGAGTATCCGCTTTTCACTTTGAAAATATCTCCTGTTTTTCTAACGAATGAAATACCTTTGGTTCGGTTCGGCTCTACGGGTTTGGCGAAGAATGAGCAGTTTGATAATCTATACCATTTTAAGACCATGAAGGAATCGAACTTGTTGCTGATTGAAACGGGTTCATGAAAATGATCCTGTTGTATGTATTAACAGCCACTACATAATCGGCGTTTCTAAGTATGAAAACAATTTGACAGTGGAAGATCTGATGTCATTAAGACACGTGAACTGACGTCAGTCAGTGAGATAGTTCTGCATCCAATTCAGCAAACGTAGCTAAGAAGCATTGGATAAGACGGACCATGGAGTAGTGGGCCGAGACTTTCCGTTTTCTTCCTATAGTATTGAAGTCATGCGGACATTGCACCATGCATCAGCTAGTCTACCTGACTCACTGTAACTGACCTTGTCAACAAATCCAGTATAAGAGATGCTGATGTTCATTTCCGTCGACTTATCTTACACTTCTGCCGGAAGCTTACATCCATTGTCGTCTATCTAGCTCACAACGTTAAACTATAGACACCCTCTGTCTTGTGCAATGAATCCATCATCATCTATCCACATTACTTCCCATCACGCCTTAGTCAAAACCGGTAATCCTTCAGTCGCGACCCATGATCATTTAGTCTCGACGCAAAAAGCTTTAGTCATGTCACTGCAGACGAGTTAGATCGAAAAGTATCGTAATACACTCTGAGGTCAACGACTGTTGAAACATTTCTTTTCATTTTCTACAAATTTTGATACTACCAAGTTTGATTAAGAAACTAGGTGTGGTGTTTGCACTGTGCACCACAGGCTGCTTGAAGAGGGTTTCAAACGATGTGACCGTATTGTCAAACCATTGGGCACATCTCATATACAGGTGTTGACAAAACTCGTGCAACATCACCCTTTTTTTTGAAAATCCATTTCAGCTTGCAATATCCTAGTTATATACAGATGGCTATAACGAGCAATACTCTTGTAAGTAAAACTTTTAAATTTGGCAAAAACGGTACATTGTGTTGCATTCACACGTCCTGACATAATAAACATCATTTAAAAAATACACCTCCCTTTGGTACACCTTTTCCTATCAAGCTTTATCTTACACTTTTTAAGCACAGAACCAATAAACTGGATCTAAAGTGAATGTTCCCCTACTGTCCCTGTTTACAGTATACTATTTGTCCATGGGAATTTCCTCTTTTACTGTAATTCACATTGTGTAATAAAAAATGTCATCTGTCGATGCTTCTTAAGCAACAATACTTATTCCGAAAACGAGTAACCCTTTTTTACCAAACAGATCGACTGCGTTCTGTTTCGCTCAGTTCTGTNGTTCACCCCAAGACCTCCAACCTCTGTCACTGAACCGATATTTTCATTCGAATAGTCCCATGATTCTCGTACACAGCTCGGATTGTACCGTAAGCCCAAAACTCAACCCTGGTCGTAATTACTGAGGCCAGCTTTGATCATTAAGTTATCGTCAATGTCAGAGCTGTAGTGGGCACGACACAGTGCGTCATCCTTCGTTCATATCGAGTGGTGTCTCACTTGGCTGTCACAAGCATGGCTTAACCGACCCACCCATTCGACGTTCGTCACAGAGCTCGACAAGTTGCACAACTGGGGTCTGCCTCATTTCAACACAGAAAGAGCGCGGGAAGACAGGTGGTCAATCCGGGGGTAGAAAAAATGTATGAGCAATTGGCCAATGAGGTGCGCTGAACGGAAGCGGATCCAACCACAGCGTTCCTTTCTCAAGTCTAAGTGATGGTTTCTCAATTCCAAATGACGGTTTCGCAAATGAAAATTATAGTTTCTCAAAGCTATCTTAAAATGGTATAGGTCAAACAGTCTGCCACCTGGGAGTAAATCGATGCCACTATCCGCACACGAATCTAGGGCTGGNTTACATAATGAGATCTATAACAAAGTTAAATAGAAAAGGAGAAAGAGGGCAACCCTGTCGAACACCACTTTCCGTGGTGAACTCGGGTGAAAACGTGCCGTAAGCTGGGACTCGACTTCGGCTATTAATATACAGGGATTGTAGTATTGAAGTTAACTTCTCGGGCACACCTTTCAGAAAAAGGCAGCGCCAGAGTTTAGAGCGGTCGACCGAATCGAAAACCGCTTTGAGATCCAGGAATAAACAGATGGCGGGTCTACGAAAAGAATGTCGGTGCTCCAGAGTTTGGCGAAGAGTAAAGATGTGGTCGATACACCCTCGACCAGGTCTAAAGCGAGCCTGGTTCTCACGCGTACACCGTTCACGTGTGGCAGACAATTGATGGAGTATGATGACATCGAGAAGTTTAGAGACACTATTGATTAAGCTATTTCCTCTGTAGTTTTCACAAGAGGATCTGGTAAGGTATTAGATCCTGCAAGGAGGAATGGAGACTCTGTCACTCTATCCATTATCTCAATGCGCCCATATTCAAAACAATAAATGAAATACACCAAACAAGGCACTTTGAATTTCGGTTTACTGATACCACCCTAGAGAGATTGTCTTCAGTCCTTTCGTTTCATATTTAACTACTGCAGTTTGGCTACTTATACATTTCTTTTTCAGGTCCTCTTCGAATTGGCCCGTTTTCACGCTCCATCCACAATCTTTCTGGATGAACTGGACTCACTTATGTCACAACGTGGTTCCTTGACCGGAGCTACCAGTAGTTCCGGTGGTCTTGGTGTCGGCGGTGGCAGTGGTGAACATGAAGGTTCCAGACGAATGAAAACCGAATTACTCATGCAAATGGACGGATTGGCCAAATCCGATGATTTGGTCTTTCTGCTTGCGGCATCCAATTTGCCTTGGTTAGTCCCTTATATCCTCAGTACTATTGATATTGTAAAAGTTATTGATTTTACTATTCACGACTAAGTTTCTTTGTTATGTTTTTCTTGAACCGCTTCGTCATTGTTTCCCTGATCACGCATCATTCAATATCTGCCTGGGTGATATCAATCATTCTGTATAATCCATGTCGGGAATCATTTTAACAATGTGATAAATTGAATATTAAATCTGATCAATGTGATCAGTTCATCCAATGATCTCAGATAAACCTGCTGCAACTTGCGTCAATGAATTCATCATTGAATAAAATTAGAATTTCCAAGGGATTGTTTATCCTGTATTCGTTAATCCCCCGCTTACAAATCAGGAATTTTCCTTTTGTGTTCCACGCGAAAAGTTATCGATTGTATGGAAATCCCGTTCCGCAGTCATTATGTTCAAACTACTACTGTTATAATTACACAATACAGTGCTGGGACAAGTAAAGCCTGTTATTAGGAACAATGATAAGATTACCCATAAATTGGAGTACATAAGACTAAACGCCTCATCTGGAACAGGTCAATCTTAATTTCCACAAGCAAGCAAGCTATTTGATGACACGGTTCGTCGTTGA